TGCGTTGTAATATCTTCAAATGGTCAGGACGGTACTACTCTCAAGTAGGGGTTTGGCAATGGGTCAGCGACTAGCACCAGTACTTGCGGTCTGCTTTATGAGCAGAATTGAAGAACCAGTACTGGGTCGCTCTCCTTTGATGTAGATATATCGACGACTGCTTCATTATAACATCAACACAATCCGAAATGGATGAGTGTTTCCGATTATTGAATGAGCAGTCGCAGTACATAAGGCTCACACGAGAAGTACCTAAAACACGGTTGGCTACCATATCTGAATACGCAGGTGAAGTTGTCCAATGGCATTGCTAACGTGAAAGTGGTACCGCAAACCTAGCTGTAAAAATATCCTGATTCACGCACGTCGTCACATCCTGCTGCTGTGAAACGTGCAGTCATTAGGAACATGATCACTACAGCAACGAAGATGTGCACTGGCGATGAAGAACGTCTAGAATCAAGATCTCTAGCTTCAAAAATTGCTAGAGAAAATGGCTATGCGGTACGATCACAACGCAGAACACCAAATGCTAGCCTGAGACACAGACCACGCCAGGGGAAATTACCCTTATGCCTTCCTTTCATTTCCGATGAAGTGAGCACTGAAATACACCGCAGTATTGTGCGAGCACAGTTACAGGAAGATGTTGCCTTGGTGAATATTCCCAATGGCAGCATCAAACGGCAACTTGTCCGCAATAGACTGTACGACAGGCAGTGCGTCACACCGGACTGCGTTATTTGCCCATATGGAAGGTCAGGAGATTGTGAAAAAGTTGGAGTAGTTTATCAACTTGAATGCAGGGCTTGTAACAGCACGTACATCGGGGAAACAGGAAGGGATTTAGCTACGCGCGTCAAGGAACACCTAGCTGGGAAAAGGCGTGGTATAATGACCACTCCTCTTGGCAAGCATAAGGTTGAAGAGCACAACGGGAATGATTTTGATGTTAAGTGTAGTATATTGGCTTACGAGACGGATATCTCGTCCAGGAAAGTTTTGGAATCGTTCTGGATTTTCGCGAGGAAACCGAGGATGAACGGCCGAAACGAGTGCTTGTCTATTACAAATGAATTCCCTG